ACATATCGCGGGCATCACTACCACACGTGCTGCCAGGTATACGCCATGATTGTATAGAGTGTTTATATATGGCTACATAGCTCGCACGGTGACATCTAAAAAACAATGTTGTGTGTTGTGTGGAGTGTGTGTTGTTCGGTGTGTGTGTGATGTAGTGTGTGTGATGTGGCTTGGCCGCGCCGCGCGCGCGTGTGTGTGTGGCTGGTGTTGTGTGTGTTGTGTATTGTGTGTGTGTTTGTGTGTTGTGTGTGTGTGTGCTGTGCTGTGAGTGTGTGTTATGTGTGTTGTGTGTTGTGTGTGTGTTGTGTGTGGTGTGTAGTGTTGTGTGTGTGTGTGTGTGTGTGGTGTGTGAGTGGGGTCGTGTTGTGTGGTGTGTAGTGTATGTGTTTGTGTGTGTGTGTGTGTGTGTTGTGGTGTGTGTGTCGTGTGATTGAGTGTGGTGTGTTGTGTATACGCTGGTTGTGTGTGTGGTCTGGTGTGTTGGTGTGCGTCGGTGTGTGTGTGTGTGTATCTGGGTGTGTGTGTGTGTGTCGTGGGTGTGTTGTGTGTGTGTGGTGTGTGTGTGGGTGTGGTGTGTGTATGTGTGTGGTGTGTGTGTTGTGTGGGTTGTGTGTGTTGTGTTGTGTGGTGTGTGAGTGTGATGTATGTATGTGTGGGTGTGTTGTGTGTGTGTTGTGTGTGTGTGTGTGTGTGTGCCGGTGAGTGTTGTGTGTGTGTGTACGTGGTGTGTGTGTCGTGTGTGTGTGCGTGTGTGTGTGTGTGCGGCGTGCGTGTGCGTGGTGCCGTGCGTGTTGCTCGTGCGTGTGCGCTGTGCACCGCGCGAGGTGTGTGTGTGTGTGTGTGGTGTGAGTGTGTGTGTGTGTGTGTGTGTGTGTGTGTGTATGTGTGTGTGTTAGGGGGGGGGGCCAGGCCAGGGTAGTGACGCACGGACGTATTTATAGAGAGAGGAACTAGAATCAGAACTAGGACGACTAGCATGACGTACGTGATTATAATACACTCGCACGCTGACATGCTCCACGCACGCACGCACGCACGCACGCACGCACGCACGGACACACACGCGCGCACAAACACAAACCAACACACACACACACACACACACACACACACACACACACGCACGCACGCACACACACAAGGATGTGAGCGGTTGATCCTGCCATGCCCCGCCCTGCCAGGTCACGATGTGATGACGTCAACACCCTCCAGGCACGTCATCAATCATTGCCTACTGTCCCGTCAAGGTAACTCCCCTACCGTCCGCCATTTGCAACGTTTCAATAATAAAATCATGGTAGATAAACACGAAATGCTATATGTATTTGCTGCCGAAGTCTTAACGTTTTTCGATATACTCTTATTCGCTTATAATTACTAATATTTTTTTGGCAAATGCCGTTCAAATGCTACTCAGCATTTTCACTCTCTGCAACTTCACAAAATTTCACCGCACGAACGCCGTTGTGCACAAAGAAGAGGGGGCTCTAATAGCAAAATCAGTTCAGTCCTTTGTTAACAGTTAACAAATCCATGTTTAACCCTCATCTTGAGGGTCAAAAGGTTATCAGACACTTACTCTTCGCACGTCAGCGGAAAGTAGATTTCATGGTCTTTTCAATAAAGTGATAAAAACGGTAGGTCAGCGCTGAAACAAAAAAGTTTTGCACTCGGTCCGTTAGACCATGTCCTCAGAAAATGTCTGATATCTGACCTTTCCTCCACTGCCCTTAGACCTGTGACCTCCAATTTCGCACTGGTGATGGGTTTCCTCCCCATCACACTATACACCGGTAGGTCGAGCCGTTGAGATTTGTGATGCAATTCCGTATTTCCTCCTATACCTTAAGGGGGGAAATATTCCCCTTCCATTGACACATCTCGACCTTTGACCCTTGACCCCCAAATTCGACATCCCGAGTCTTTTCGCGATCCCCCCCCCCCGACGTCCCGAATATCAAGACCGTACGTCGAGCGGTTAAGATTTGTGCCCAACTGTTGACGGAAGCACGGACGCACGGACGGACGCACGGACGGACGCATGGACGGACGGACAATCATGCGATTCTACAAGCTGCATCTGACTTCGTCAGCTGAGCTAAAAATCGCTATAGTTGTTGTTCTTCTTTTTATTAATAAAACGTTCCAAGTGCCTGTGCCGTCTTGATATATTATATTGGTTGTATGCCTACAACCAAGACCAACAGCCATCGGTGATGGCTGGCACATTATTACATTGTGCTGCCATCTAGTGGTCAAAATCAACACGATTCCGTGTAGGAAAGCAGAGAGGAAAGGAAAATAAAATAAAATAAAGCTTGTGTAGGAAAATGAGTAGGATTGTGTAAATGAGTATTCCTAATTGTTGTTGGAGTTGTTACCAATTCCATTTTCTCTCTACCTCTAATGATGTCTCTCTGTATCTGAGGGTTCCTTCTACATCCAAGATTACCCTCTACATCCAAGACTTCTCTCTAAATCCAAGGGTTTTCTCCACATCCAGTTTCCCCTTAATTCTCTGGATTAGGCCTATATCCATTTACTGTATAAGCCGTATTTTTCGCGAATTCAGACTTAACGGACAATTTTGCGGCCTATGCATTATTCGCGTGTTGTTAGTTTCGCGGTCGGGGAATTCGCGAAAATTAAACCACCACGAAATATACAGCTTAGTAGTGTATTCAGCCTTCTTGGTTTTGTTACATTTATATATTTATCCGTTTGTTTGTTTATATCTATAACAATCATGTTTAATTATATTTGCATTGCTGGTTTCTTTGTCAAATATTCCATAAATATTATTTATAGTTTAGTTGCGTGCTGTATATGCATCATATGCATTAGCCTATATGCATGTATAAATATTAATTTGCATCTGTGATTTCTTTGCCAAGATATATTTCGACATGCCGACATGCATGACGAGGAAGTCTGATACATGATAGGAACAGGCGTAGACAATATCAAATTTATGTTATAGTTCTAATTTTGTTATTATTTACTCTTAATTATATTATATTATTTACTCTTATGATACTACCTTATCATTTACTCTTACTGCATCATACTTATGTATCATGGCCATAGATCATCAAGTGCTGGTTCATATAATACTACTACTACTACTCAGCGGACGCATCCGAGATAGAGTTCACAATGCGATGCCATGAATATTTGTCCATCATCAGTGTCTGCATGTCCGCTATGTCACGCTGGATATCCCTTGCAATGCAGTCAATGTAGTTCAGTGGCCGTCTTCCTCTGGTTGGGCAAGGCAGTCTCAAGCAGATCAGATAAACATATAATAAACACTCATACAAGACGCCAATCGATTTGTTAAATACAATTACGATGTGTTTATTTCACGTGAGGCACACGCACGCGTTACATACAATGTTTACTACCGACTAGTGTAACCTCGAGGTGAGTGAAGGTGCAGGGAAAGAAGTATCCTGAGTAAATAACCAACCGCACACACACCTCTCTCCTGTCTCTCTCTCGCTCTCTCTCACTCTGTCTGTCTGTTTGTTTGTCTCTCTCTCTCTCTCTCTCTCTCTCTCTCTCTGTCTGTGTGTCTGTCTGTCTGTCTGTCTCTCTCTCTCTCTCTCTCATTCTCTCACACACTCTCTCTCTCTCTTTCTCTCACTCTCTCACACACTCTCTCTCTCTCTCTCCTATCGAACATTTTGTTATCTAATTTTGTTAGTTGCAGAGATTGCCCGGTATTGCTTGCAGAGATCCGATTCAACTAGAGACAAGAAGATCCATTGCGCTAACACAGCACGTGTGTTTTAATATCGCTGCGCCCGCAATTAAACATTATTCATATAGTAGTGGGAGGGAGTCAGGGTAAAAAATACACGGCAGCGAGGACCGATTCGCTCTTCAAACCTCCGAAATCGCTCCCGTGAGGCTCAAAATAGCTGCCGTAAAATTTTTAGACGACAGCTATTTTTTCCACAGACCTTTGAAAAAGAGCTCCAGTGAAATAAAAAAGAAATTTTCTCCCTGGCACCCGCAATCAGGGCCGTACGCAGCAGGGGGGCAGCAGGGGCAGTTGCCCCCCTAGAGATTTTCAGAGTATGCCTTTTAATGGGACAAATTTTGTACACTTTTGGAAATAAATAGGAATGTAACAAAAGGTTATCTTAAATCATTAAAGAAATATTACTTTAAATAAAGAAATGTGAAATGGCGAAACGTTAGGGCACAGGGGGCATGGGGAGTACCTTTGCCCCCCACAGAAAATTTCCTGCGTACGGCCTTGCCCGCAATTGAACATTATTTATATAGTGGGAGGGAGTTATGTGTGTGTGCATCATAGCCAAGCGCAGCAGAACTTACGAGCCTATCTATATTTAGCATGTCTACGCCCTCCAGCTCGTATCCGCAGCCAATCACAACAACAAAGCATGAAGCTGCGTTTACACTACCGACTTTATGTTGGCGAATTGGCGAGTTGGACCGATTTCGCAATTCGGCAACTCCGAGTTGGCGAAAAGATAACGCGTTCTAATCTCCTAACTAGTTGCTATCGATCTGGTTTGGTCGCGCAACTCTTGCGTTCACACGCCTCGTCGATTAACACTCTGTAATATTTAAATCCGATCTCGTAAAATCTCGTGCAACTCTGAACTGGAAGGTCGCGACTCAGCAGACAACGTCGCGCAACTTTGAAGTGAAGAAGGACACGCGAGAAAATCTCTCTCGCGGTCATGTAAACCGGTAATGTAACTAGAGTTAGATGTGCGGCGGCGCCACCTACGGGCAGCACATCTGCGCGAGTGACGCCACCTCGCGGATGACAACCCCCTATCTCTGCACGCCCCCCCACGCCGCATGCGTGGCACACACTTCCGCAAGACCCCTTCCCCATGAGTTGCCATGCGAGTGGCGCCACCTTGCTGGTGGCGTCGCAGCACGAGTGGCGCCACCTTGCTGGTGGTATCGCAGCACGAGTGGCGACCGCCTCCCACACGACATCTCGCCCCCTCCCCCCTCTCTGCACGCCCCCTAACACGCGCATGACGCCCCCTCACGGCCGGTGCTTCGCGTAGACCATCGGTTCGCACGTGCGAACGAGCATGTCGTCGTCGCCGCGATAGACGTGCGTGTAGAGCTCCTCCAGGGGCAGCTCCGCGTCCGTCTTCGCCTTCTGCGTCGCCGTGTCCACCTCCTTACGGACCTCCTGCTCCAGTTTCTAGGGCGAGAGAGAGAGAGAAGAAACGATCAGTGACGAGAGAGAGAAGCAATGGTCAGTGACGCAAAAAAGAACAAAAACAGAAAAAGAGGCAAAAGAAGAAAAAGAGAAAAAGAGAAAAAAAGAAAAAGAGAAAAAGAGAAAAAGAGAAAAATACGCAAAAGAAGAAAAAGACGAAAAACAGTAAGAGCCTTCTGCGTTGCCGTGACCACCTCCTCACGAACCTCCTGCTCCAGTTTCTAGGGCGAGAGAGAGGCAATGGTCAATGGTGGGAGAGTGTCAGTGTCAGGATAGAAAAGCAACAGCGCAAGGGATGGTCAGTAACACTCACGGGAGCGAAGCAACAGTCAGCGACGCAAAATAAAATCAACTGTCAGTGGCATGAGAGAAAAGGATTGAGTCACGGGAAGGGGGGACGTGCTAGAATGCGAGAAAGAGAGGGAAGTGAACAGACAATAAAATGCTGGGCATTCCGGCCATAATTTTATAGTCGATTATTTCAGAGGGGCAGCACTACTATACCTTAATCTCGGCAGCTGTTGCTATGGGGAGCTACGATATTTTAATTGCGACAGCGGTTACTAGGGGGCGCTGCCACATCTTATTCTCTGCCGCGACCACTACGTGGCACTACCATACCGAAACATCGATAGTCGTCACCAGGGGGCGCCAGCGTACCTTAATCTCGGCAGCTGTTGCTAGGTTACTAGTGATGATGCGATCCTTAAACAGACCAATGGGATCTCTCGTTGCTCGCACCTCGGCGATCTCATCCCTTGTGCGATAACTGTAACCATGGCAACGGTGGGAAAGCTTAGATGGATGCTGACATATCATGATATAAGTGTATCGTGTATATAAGTGTATCGTAAGGATAACTGTGCATTAAGTGTACATCATGGCAATAGAATCGTATAATCGACAACATTTGAACATCACATCGTGAAATGCAGATTCATGACACAAGGTAACAAAGTGAGCAGCATTATACAGCGCACAATAATGATATTAGGTGTTCGACATGATAACGACTGAACGTCATGACAGTAAGCGTGCGCCGTGACACGGCAGAGTAGACAACAACGTTGCCGCGTGTTGCTGTGTGTTGCCCCGGCGTTGCTGCGTGTTGCTGTGTGTTGCCCCGTCGTTGCTGCGTGTTGCAGCGTGTTGCCACGTCGTTGCCGCTCTCTCACCTCGTTCCCGGATCGCTCATGCTGTGACCGTGGTAGCGATACGTAGCCGTCTCCATCACCAGGGGGCCGTTACCGGCGCGAACGTAGTCGGCACAAAACCGCATCGCCTCGCGAACAGCAAGAACATCCATACCGTCCACCTGGTGGTGAAAACAAGCAAGACAAGCTCGACATCAGCAAAGAACGCAATCGATGCTTGCGTCCACACGCGAGCAGTGTGATACCGCTAGTAGTTTTTCGGCCGCAAGCACGAAAACTACTTCAATTGATAAAAATAATTCAGTAAAAAAAAACAGCCAGCACCACCACCACCACTACCACCACACCACC